AAATATTAAAAAATAATTGGCTAAGTCTATAATAAATAAGACCTTTTTAATATTCGACTTAAAATGCATTTTGCAAATGATTCAAGAAACTAACTAATTAATTTTGAAATGGTAAATAAAAGTAAGGTGCTGAAAACTGCCCAAAAGATTTATTAGATGCTTAAAAGTTTATAAAACTGCAACTAATATTTCATTAAGGCAGTTAAAAAATCTTTTTATTTTTCTTTTTATCATATTATTAAGTATATTTTGAATATTCCTATACTTAAAGCATTTAATTTCTAGCAATGTTTATAAGACAGATGAAATCGCTTTTGGGAACATCAACCGAAAAAGCGCATTTTTTTATAAGAATTTGTTTTGTTTTGCGTTGCTTTTTTTCGTGTCTTTTTTGTTGTTTTTTTCTTTGGTTTGCAGCATGTGGCATGTGTCGCTTTTATTTGCCTTTTAGTCGCATTTGTTGCGCTTTTTGCTTTTTGCTTGCTTGCAGTTCGCCTGAAAAAGATCACAGACCTTCTGACCTCACTCGTTTGCTGTCTCTCTCTATCTCTCGCCCGCTCTGTCTCTCTTTCTTTCGCTCTCCCTGTCTCTCTCTCTCTTTCTCTCTCTTTCTTTGTTTGGCTCCCACTGTCTCTCTTTCTGCGCCCTGTCAAAATGTTGTCCCGGCAAAAGTCGCAACCCCTGGGCACTTTGAGAGGGGGGAGGCCGGTGGGTGGTTGGGTGGTCAAAGCGGGAAGGGGATGGGGAAGGGGAAGGAGGGGGCGTGTTGGGGTTATATCCTACAATATATGCATGCCATTGCGATGCGTCGCAGTCGCTGTCGACGTCGCAGTTGCCGTCGCCGTCGCCGCAGCCGTCGCAGTTCTAAAAATATTTCAGGTCGCTCGGTCGTCGTTTTGGTCGTCGGTTCGCTTTTGGTCTCGTTTGGGTTAAGTGTGCGGCGCATCTGTATCTGTATCTGTATCACAGTATCTCTATCTGTATCTGTATCTGTAGCTGTAGCTGTATCTCTTGGCTGTATATCTTGGCGACTGGCCTATGGGCCAAGATACTTATAAGCATACATATATATATAAATATATATATTTATTTATTTCTGCTGCGTCTTTTGACGTGCGTTTTATATATTTTATTTTATTTCATTTCATTTTAATTTTTTTTCATTTTTTTCATTTGCAAAGGTTGTTTAGGTCGTTGCGATATCAAATGATATTGACTTGTATTGAATTACCTCTATATATATATATATATATATATATTTAAAGGTATATATTTTTATTGGCCAGGACAGGTTTTTTCATTAGAACGCTGTGCAATTAATATGCAGCTGTTTTGTTTTTATTCCCCCGAACAACAACTGGGCAAATAGGAAAAGTGCAACAAACAAAAAATTAAAAACAACAACAATTGACAGACGAGGCTAAAGTATCAAATGGACAAAAGCGAAACAGTCACAGCCAGTTACGCACACACACACACACACACACACACACATGCTTTGCGAGTTGAGTTTTGCATTTGTGCAGCTCTTCATTTTTTTTGTGTGTTCGGCTGCGTTTGAACTCTGAACCAGCTGACCTTCATTGAACCCTTTTCAGCTGCGCACTGCACTGCTAATCCGAACAAAAGAGAGTGTGACAATCAAAGAGAGAGAGCGTGCGTCAAAGTAAGAGAGAGCGCTCGCGCCAACTGATAAAGCTCAATGCGCACTCTTTGCCTACGCCTGCTCTTTGTTTAGCCGCTCTCTTCTGCGCTCGTTCGCTCACTCTTTTTATTGCTGCTGTTTGCATGTGTGTATGTTGGTGTGTTGGTGTGCACACGTGTTGAGCGGCGGCTCCAAAGTGGAGCCGCTTCGGCTTTCATTCTCAGTACGTGCCCGTTTGCGTTGCGAGTCGTGCGAATTGCGCTCGCGCTAAATGGCAACAACAGCAACAACAAACATAAAAAAAAAGAAAAACTGAGGAAGCTCAAAACGCTTGATCGCAACCTTTTTCTCGGTTACTTTTATGCAAAAAGCGCGGGCGCTCTACAACAACAAAAAAATAACAACAACACAACATTTCCAGTGCTGATAAACACAAATCCGGCCACAAATTCCTAACAGAAAAAAAATAACAAACGTGCAACGTGCAAATTTAGCGTGCGTCAAACGCGCAGCTCAAAAGAGATTAAGGATTAAGCGATTCCATTCCAGTTAACAGTTACAGTTACATATATATATTTTCTCTGTGTGTGCGTGTATGTGTGTGTGTGTGTGTGTGCAACAAAGCTGCACGTGTTGTGCGACATAACAAACAAAGAAGAAGAAGAAGAAGAAGAAGATAAAGGGATGTACAAATCTGCTGTCAAATGTCAAAATGCACGTGTCCAGTAATTAATAAGCTAAACAAGCAGAACTGTTGAAATTGAATGTTTAGCTCAAGCTTAACCGAAAATGTATCTTTGAGATACACAATATTAATTAGCAGCACAAAAGTGCAAATGTGAAATGCAAATCAGTCGAAAAGTGAATGCCAGCTGAAGTTCTCATAGGAATCGAGCCATTTTTTTAAAGGTCACCGTGACAGCTTAACAAATTATCAAATTAAAAAATATATATCCATTTGACCAAAAAATTATGCATTGAATATATTTTTAATGTATTTGTGTACGAAGCCACAACAACAACAACAACAACAGCAACAAATGAAATTCAACGCGTGTGTTGTTCATTAAAAAAAAAAGTTAAACAAAAACGAAGAAAGAAAAAAAATGTGATTATTTAAAAATACATTTTTTTGGGAGCGGAAACACAATAACAAAAAAAAAAAGAAACATAATAAACACAAGCAACAATTAAACAAAAAATTGCAAGCTGCAGCGGAAAATTAAAGAAAAAAACGCAACCATCAAAAAATCAAAATAATGATGTGAAAAGGTGATTCGATAACAAGCTTAAAATATTAAACAACAGGTTTAGTTTTCAGCGCACTTTAAAAAAATAATTATATGTAATAATATCGAAAATTAAACAAGCAAAAAAAAAGGCAAAAATTTTGCGTTAGCTGTTTTTTGGCAATTAGAATGACAAATTGACAGCAGCAGCAGCAGCAACAACAGCAACAATAATAAAAGTCGTTGGCGGTAATCAACGTGAAACAATCGACATAAATCAATGAAACAAAAATAAATTGAAATCAAATATAAAACAATCAAAGCAAAAACAAAAACAAAAAGGTAAACTTGAAGTGCAAAAAACGCTTTCAATATTTCGCGGCCAATCGCGGCCTTAAACTTAACTCGACATCGGTTTTATAGCCGCTGTCAATAAGAGTTTGCACTTGTTTATTCCCTGATTCCATTATATTTAATGATAGCTTTTCAAGCCTCTTTTGACTCGATTGTTGTCTGCTGGGCGATCTTTAAATATCCAACAAAATCCTAAGCTCAAAACACAAATCGTCGATTGAAAGCTAATTTCTTATCGGTTAGTAGTGCCTAAGCCGGTTCAGAATTATTATTATTATTATTATTATTTTTATGCCATGCTTAGCAAACTTTATATTCCATTTAATTTAAAAACAAGTAACCCGATAAGCAAAGTTTGTATTTAAATATATGATAATTAGACTATGCGCTTACCCTGTAAATTAAAATGTTAGGGAAATGAGAACTCAGAAAAACTTAAAAGTTCAAATAAATCAAAAGGAAAACTGTTAAAAAAAGGGGGTTTTAGGTTCTAAATTACAAGCAAATCATTACAAAAAATTCAGAATTGAATGTCTTCATTATATTCCTTATACTCTGAAAGAGATTTAAAACTGGGAATTGATTGAGAAATGAATGTTCTCATAATATTCTTTATTTTCGTACTTTAAAATGTTGTTTTAAAAATGTAGCTTATAAAAGTCTTTCACACCTAACTTTATATCATAAATTTCTGTGTACAATGTGAATTAATACACCATACACAAATTAGCATGTCTACAGGGTATTTGAAAAACAGTTGTAGATTTGACAACAGGTGAATTAATTAAAGAAACAGCCAACTGGCTGCTTCTCTTCTTGGCCACTTGTTTAGTTAAAGATAGACAGATGCATGCGTCGAGTCATATTTAAAAGCCACACTAAACACATGAAGACATTAACACAAACGATATTAATTTAAGTGACAACAATTGCAACAACCACAACAACAACAACAACTACACAAATTCAAAGACAAATTGGCGACATAAAAATGGCCAACAACCTGTTGTTGCTCGAACATAATTGAAAAATTGGTCAAACAGAAAACATAACAGAAAAAAATCAAATAACAACTATTAGATACCCAGTGAACCCAAGTCTTTAACTATCCATAATTCAAAACAACATGTTGAAATTGCCTAAAAAACCCTATTTGGATGAAAATTATGCAGTTTGATATTATGTGAATTAAATTGACACATTTATATTCAAACCCGGCAAAGGTGGCTTTTATAGCTAGCACAAATTGATATATATATCGATAGTCGTGAAGCTACAAAAGTTATCGATAACATGAAATAAACTTGATCTGCTTATGATAAGCGAGATGTTCATTTCTCAGTTCGGCTTGTTCAAACGGACAGACACACAAACTGACAGCTAGACAAGCAGACAGACAAACTGACAGATAGACAGGCTGACAGACAGATTGACAGACATATTATAAAATGGGCGTGGCCAAATAGACTCTACTTTTGATGCTGATCAAGAATACATGAATACTTTTTGCATGCTTCTGCACAACTTTATTAGACTCCCTCATACCCAACATTCAGTGAGTACAGGGTATAATGAAACAGACTGAGTGAGAAAGAGAAGGAAAGCAAAATAGTCTCCGCAATGATGACTGCAAAGAAATGCATTCAAATAACTTAATAACTGAAGTCCACTTATTTTCTAGCTCTTTCTAATGTTTTTTCCTCTTTTTCTTTCGTTTTTCTTTTGTTTACTTCCGGATACGCAACAGGAGCGGGGCAGCGAGACACCAACAACACCACCACCACCAACAACAACAACAATAGCAACAATAAGAAACAAATCGAATCGGTGCGGTGCGGTTTTGACAATATGTTGAGCCCACCATAATGAAGGAAATTGATACCGAGACAACAGTAGTATGGCCAGCCTGGTGTTATTCCGGTAAGTGAGACACGCCTACTCCCGCCCCTAACCTCCCCCCTTCTTTAACGCTGCTTCTGTTGTCGCTTGTCTCCGTTGTCTAAGCAGCATTTATCGCATTCATTTAACTGCCTCCATAGACAACAACAACAAGAACAACAACAAGAACAACAACAAGAACAACAACAACAACAATGCATATTGAGATAGACCGACACCAGACCAGAGTAGACCAGACCAGACCCAGAGACCCCAAACTGAAACACGACACAAGTGTTAACATTTTCGACTGTCGAAATTCAAATACCCTCGAAATAACTGTTATTTTCTAAAGTTTCCATTCGTATATCATTTTTATAAATATCACATAAATATTAAAGATTAAATTGTTCGTAAAAATAATGTATATAAAATATTCCCATCTTTATCATTATTATTTTTTACCCAAATAATGTAAATAAAATAGTACAAAACCTGAAAAGAATTCTTCTTAAATGGTATTTAATAAAAACAAAACTCTCAAACTGTTCACTTTGCTCAAAATTACTTGAAATAATTTTAAAATAGTTCAATCCTAAATGAAATTTGTTCAAGATTAATTAACCTAGTCATTTGCAATAATCATGATTTATATTCTGAATATTTAGCCAACTCTGTTGCATATCATCTACACCTCTTCAATATACCCTTTTTTGATCCATTGTTGTGCAGGGTATAAAACTAGGTGTTGAAAGTTCAACTATCGTCTTACGCCTTTGTTTTTCCTTTTGTTGTTGTATTTATTTCTCATTTGGTTTTTTGTTTATTTGTTTATTTTTTTTTTGTTAGTATTCCTTTGTCGCGGTTCCACCTTCCAACTCAAAATTGATTGTTGGGTCAGTTTGCGTACTTTTTGTAGCCACTGTACGAGAAAAGAAAACCGACAAAGATATTTTCTGAACTCTGCTGACAGATATTTTGTAATTTCTTCAGACATTCGTATTTGATTTGCTTAGTTTCAGTTTTTAACATTTATGTGTATATAAATTCAATTGGAATTCAGCCAAAATGCAGCTGCTTCGTATGCTCATGATTATTATAGTCATAATGATGATGTCATGGATCTCACCTTTGACTTTTGTGTAGCTCTTTCCGATCCCGAACCAGTCACACACAGTCAAATCGCAAACGAGAATCAGAATACTGCCACACGATAAGTAAAAGGCAAATTGTGCGGAATTCTGCCAACTTAACATAAATGTTTGTATTTAATTCTTAAAACGCAAATTAATCAGTTTAAACTTTATAGTATCTGACACAATACAAGCGATCGTCGCTGTTTTGTTTTCTTCTGATTGTTATAGATTTTTATAGCTTTTACTGAGAGATTTTGTATTGTATTGAATCTTTGTATATTTGTTTTATTACTTATTATTTGCAGTTTTTTAAAAACACGACATTTGAGTAAATTATTTTGAGGAAACACTGAAATTTAAGACGTAGTTTTTAACTATTAGATAAAAGTTGAAAAATAGCAATTATAAAATATGTTTCTACAGATATCAGAAAGCTCTTTTTAGTCTGAACTAATGTTAAGAGCTTTCACACATACAGCTTATGTGCACGTTGTTTCGTTTGAGCTTTCAAAAGCTCACCAATACTTATGGAGCACTGGCTTTGATTTTTGGCAACGTTCACAACCTTATGACCAGAAAACACTAAAAAAAAATTAAAAAAAAAAAAAACAAAAGGGTAAAATAAAAATGGGAGCCACTCCCAAGTGAAGTGCTGGCAAAATTAAGCATTCAGCATGCAAATTTTCATTAAAACAAAGCACCTCTTTATATACGCCGAGAGAGGGACGCCCGACGCCGAAAAAAAGGCCACAAAAATTTGAATGCGTCTTGGGACTCGACTTGACTTTGACCGGCTCCTCAAATAAGGCAACACACACACGCACACACACACACGCAAAGTTGAGGAAGACGATAAAAAAACACAACGTTGCGCGGCTTTAAAATTAAAATAATCAAAAATAAAGTATAAAAGAATAAACAAGCATGCAACGATGACGATCATGATCATGATCGTGATGATCATGATGATGATGATGATTAAAAAGAAAAAAAAAGAAAGGAAAAACACAAGCAGAAGTAAAATTAAAATGCAAAACGAGTCGGCGCTGCGATTCGGGCTGAAACACAGAAGGTGCAGAAAGAAGAAACAGAAGCGACCCGGCTGAGAGTCCCTAACCTCCCCACCCCTTGCACCCTCCCCGCAACCCTATGTTAAGGCTAATACAACAACAACAACAACAACAGCAAGAAGAAGAACAAGCACTTATACAATATCAATATGAGCAGCGCTGCATTTATAACCTTTGTCTGTCGTCGTTGTTGTTATTGTTGCTGTTGTTGTTGTTGTTGCTGCTGTTGTTTTTGTCGCTTGTTGCGCTTCACTCTTTGGCACTCTGTACTTTGTTGTTGTTTTGTTTTTATTTACCTTACCTTACTCGAAACCTTTGACGCGAACTTATGCCCTGCAAATGGCCATGGAATGTTGACTTGTCTGCAACTGCTGAGCAGACTCTGAGAACTGAGAACGGAGAGCTGCAGTCAGGCAAGAAAAAAATACATACATACATACATACATACATAAATACATATGTATATAATATGTATATGTATTTATGACGAATTTGTTATACACTTTGAGCTTGGGTTTCTATTTAGCTATTAAAAATAGCTTGTAAACAACGGCATTAATACAAACTGGCACCGCAAATAAAATTGATATTTTTGTTTAAACAACAAATTACTTCATTTTATCATCAAATGGCAAATAATTATGGTTTACTATTTCTAAATACATATTAAAAATTAAATATTTTCAAAATTTAATTGCTCATTTCAATTTTTGCAATCCTTAAAAGAGTTATTATTGATTTTCCAATTGCTTTTATAAATAAATAAACTTGTTAATTAAATTAATATTAATATTAATGTTTTTCTAAATGAATTACTCAAAGTATCTTTTGCTTTTCCATTAGCTGCACTTTTTACTAGCCAAGTTGTCAACTTTCACTCAGACACTCGCTCAATGCAATTAAAACATAAGACTATTGTTCTCTCATTTAGCATTGCATTTCTAATGCAGCCGCGTCTCTTAAGCAAAAAGAGCATCAGCCGCTCAATGATACGTTTTTTTTTTCTTCTTATTTGCCATTGCGTGCAGTTGTTGATGACGACTGCGCAGTCGCAGCCGCAGCCGCAGTCGCAGCTGCTTTCTGTCGTCTCCTTCACCTTACGCGTCCTCGTTCATTATGTCTGCTCAACTTTGCACTCACTCGGCCACAGCAGCAGCGGCGGCAATGGCAGTTAAACGACTTGAGACACGCACACTTGTTGCTCTTTCGCTCTTTCGCTCTTTCTCTTCGCCTACCATGCACTTATTTATTGTTTGTTGTTTGTTGTAGTTATGATTTGCGATTTTAATGCCCTGACTCCTCTCGCTCGCTTTGTCTCTCTCACTCTCTGTCTCGCTCCCTTGCTCTTTGTGTATTTAATATCGATGGCCGCACGGTAGCCGCCGCAGGGCGCAATTATGCCACTTGTTGGAATTTCACTCGATTTACTTTGAGTGTGTCTCGCTCTCTCGCTCTGCCCTTGTGTGTGCATGTGTGTGTGTGTGTGTGTGTGATTTTAATTCATTTGTGTTTTGTTTCAGGCTGCGCGCCCATAGAATCGCAAATGAGCAAAACGTGTAAATTATACGCGTCGCGGTCACAGCCAACGCAAATAAAGCACACACACACACACACACATGCACACACGACACACACATTCTGCTTTGACTGTAGTTATTGCATTGCTATTGCTTTTTGCTATTGCTTTTTGCTCTCTTGAGTCTGCCGCCGCCGCCGTCGTCGCCATTGTCACCCAAAAGCAGCGACGCCCGCGCCTTTTGTGCGCTGAGCGCGCGCGCAGAGTTTGGGAGTGGAGTGGAAGTCGTGTCTACCGTTGACGTTTATTCATCAGCCTCAACTGAGCCACATCAATAATGACTCGCCGTCGTTTGCGTCTCACCTGACGTTGACACTTTTTATTTCTGTTTTTTTTTTTTTTTTTTGTCGTCTTGAGTTATGTTTATTGTTTGTTTTGGCATTCCTGGGCGTTTTGCTGTTTTTTTTTTTTGTCAAAGGTTTAACTTAATAGCCCGTTGTCGTTAACTCATTCATCATTAAGGTCACCCTTTCAATTGCAGCAGCACATCTACGGCTAAGCAAACATTAGAAAGCTTTCGTGTCCTATTTGCCTCGTTGCATCACTGCCTTTGTCTATCGATCGCATGAAGAGAGTTCACTTAAAGCAACCCAGCAGCAAACAGACCCCATTACAATTTCAATTCGTAATCTATACCTTGCATAGCACAATCCACATTACTTTTCCATAAGCAACTAGTCATTCTACATGCTTACTTTGTAATGTATAAAGTATGTGTTGCCAAAAGCTTTTTTTTATACCAAGATATATGTATATATTCTAATGCAACTGCAAAATACTGATGACTTATTCTAGTATATACAACAATTTTAGAGCATAAACATATAAATATATTTTATTTTTTAACACACAACTTGCCCATAAAAAAATAAACAAAGAAAAAAATTTAAAAAAAGCTGTGCGAGAGCAATAATTAAAACAGTAAAACAGATAAGAAACCAATACATATATATATATATGTATAAACAGTAATAAGTAAAGTCAACTTAGAAGCTGCCGCATGCAACTCTGCATACACAGAAGCATTACTATGTAATTAATTACATTGTGTGCATTACAGAAGCCATTCGATAATGAGGGGTGAGATTAGCAGATAAATAAATAAATGAACTCCCCAAAAACATCAATAATTGTATTATTTTCTATTCAAATATGATGTGTTTGTATTTTGAAGTTGATGATTTTCTCTTTGTATTTGAGGCATTTGTTTTCAATTGAATTTCGCTGTGCTTAACTGCGAACATTAAAGAGTTTTGCCGC